CACCACCGCCACCACCACCAGCACAACCACCACCACCACCAACACCAACACCAACACCACCTCCTCCACCTCCACCTCCACCACCTCCGCCACCAGCCCCCGAGATCGGCTCTCAATCACTTTCCAAATCTAATCAAACTATTTTCACCCTTTCTCGCCCCCTCGCTCGCGTACACACTCGCACAGCGATGATGACACACGCACGCACATACACACGCAGGCGAGTGCGAGCGCGCGCGCGCTCATGCACCTCCTATCACGTAAGTACGGACCGGCCCATTTCTCTTGTCGTTTATTCGTAGGCCGGTGGCGAGGCACCCTGCCCTACGTTCCTCGACTCGTCCTTCGTCACTCGCTACCCTCGCTTCCAACTGTTCTTTCTTTCCAAAAGATTACACCTCCTCGTCGCTTTTATCTCGCGATCAACCTTCGTCGTCTATATCTTCCCTACCGAGAATGTTTTCACGCGGTTACATCAAGTAGTACGAGCACGCTTTAACGAAACACCGACAGAACGAAAACAGTTCGTACAAAGCCGTGTACGCGAAGCGACCGTGCACTACCGTACACTCGCTTCGCATCAACCACCAGCACTGATCCAGCAGACCGCTGACCGCGCATCATCGGCATTCCCGACCGTTCCTCTTCGATGTCTCGCTACAACGCCAGAGTGCGCCACTCTATTACAATATCCTGCAAACAACCCGCCACGAACAAGAGCAGAATGTAAAACAACATAACGTCCATATGCGCTTTGGTATGTGCACCTCACCGGTTTTACTCCACTCCCTGCTGGTTGGTTCATTTTTTCTCTACTCCAATTACAACTATTATGCTAAGTTGTTAGAAGATCCCTTAGTCGATACTACTTCAAAATTTCAATCGTAAAGCTCTTCAAATATTCCAAGCAACGAATCATTTTCTTCCTTTCCTTTCTCGTTCATTTTCTTCGCTTTTCAAAGAATTTATCCCATTTTCATCTATTAAATACCGAACCTATTCTACCTTCCATAACGTTTTCACGTATTTCGAATAACCCTGTACACGAGTAACCTACACATATAATGTATTTTATTCGAGAAAATTCCAGTATTCTCCGTTGCATTACGATATTTTTTTTCATCAAATAATTAATTTTATATAGTTTACATAAAATCAATCAAACGCGTATAATATATCATACAACAACGTAGAGTGTAGAGGATATGTATATTGAAAAACGTTATACGAGTTACATGATATTTTAATTTACCAAATTTTTGCCGATAATGCATGAAACAAAAATAATATCTACAATTTTTTGATTACGTCATACAAACCATTTACGGCCGCGATTCTTAACCTGTGATCCGCTGATCTCCAGGTGCTACCAAGTCCTTACACACACATAAATTATTTTACTATCCAAATAAAAAAAATTAATGGAAGTATACATATTTATTTATTTATATTGAATCTCTTCTCTCCAAATTAGAAGATCGTTGATGAGTAATTAATGAGTATTTTAAATGCATATGTTTCAAGTACGTTACAACATTTCAATTCTGAATTAAGTCTTGAAGATTGGCGACAAAAAATATTGTTTGGAGGAGAGCCGTGGTAAACAAGAAATTAAGAATGATCTAGGGAATATGTTTAAAAACCAAAGTTATACACATACTACGTATAGCGTCGCTACTGTCTTCGTACAGTTGCAATTGGTGGAAGTGGAAGCTGATGCTAGCGACAGCGATCAGTTCAATTTCAGCTTTGGCAGAAGCTTACGTCTTGCGTTTCTGTACTTGTTTGTAGCGGGGAATCCATTCAACGACATCGGCCTTTTGGTAAAGATCATACGCGACTGTTGAGATTGTTCGCATTTTCGCCGTAAAAATGAGATTAGTGTATATAACCTGCGTTTTATTAGCTACGGCAATTTGTTCCATCGCGGCTGACAATGGTGAGTATATACATATTAATATTTCACCATGTACATATTTGCTTCGTTAACTTTGTTTTTTAATTTACTAATCAATTCGGTACTGCGCCGTTTTCTTGTAATATTTTGTTCAAGCTACGTGTACCGTTGATGGCGCGTGCATTCATTTATTTAATATGTACACGAAACATAATCGACTTTAACGGAAAATTCTCAGTCGAACATCGGTCATCTACGTGGCGTTTAATAAACGTTTTACATTTAACTATTGTTACGTTGATACATATTGAATCTATGTTTTTAATACTTCTCGAAACGTCGCGTAAAATATTCGATTTACGCGAGAAATAGTAATATACGTACTGTCTCGCGTACTTACAGGCATTTTTCGTTTGCACGCAGTGGCACGTTCACTTGTTTCGTATTACACAAGACAGACCCTTGCTATATTTCTCGATGTCTCTAGAAACATAGGCGTACCTAAAATCCTTCATCTTTTTATCGTCTAATCGTGTAATCGTTTAATCCTTCGATCGTTTATTCGCACTCTTTAATTAATAGTTGTACTATGTTGCTGTAGCATTTTACCATTATCGATTTTATATTTACGATTGTCTATACGCTTAGCCATACGGCAGGAGATTTTGCGATCTAACGAATATAATCGCTAAAGTTTATTAGATACAGTAAATAATCATCTTGCACAATTTTATTCATTTCTACGAGATCCTCAGCTCTTTTACGTGATATCATTTTACTTCGATTAATTTTATTTTACGTTATTACCCATTTTTTAAAATGTACAAATTCATTTCCTTTTTAAACTGTAATAATTATATCTCGTTTATATTGTTTTCATTTATAATTACATTTTTTACCTTTGTTACCTTTTTTATTATAAGCAGCTTCAAAGGAAAGATTTTATAATAATATATGTAATATTAATTCTTTACACAGCTGCTACGACCCAAGGAGATACTAAATCTATCAATCAGCAGACAGTGGATCTAGTCAATAGTACTGCATCTATTAAAAATTCCTCGAGTCCTGCTGCACTAGTTAAGGATTCTAGTACCAATGTAACTAAAAATGTAGATGTCAATGACAATATTACCAGTACCATTGCTACTATTCCTGCTACTAACACCACTATTGGTAACAAAACAAAAACCGATACTGCTTCTGACAATGATCATGGTGCAGAATCCACCAATTCAACAACAACTACGATAACTTCAATACCTACAGCTTCGTCAATAACAACCAAACAAACACCTACACCTGAAAACTCTACATCTACGACTATAGTTACACCTACTACTACGAACAATACAACACCTATCGTTTCATCAACACCTATAACTACTCCAGTTCCATCATCGACAAAAATTGTTCCATCTTATACACAACGACACTTTGATGGACTTAGCTTTTTAGGTAAGTAAAAAACGATACATTCTATTTGTGTGTATTTTGTTGCTTCCTCAAATAGTCATTTTGCTTGGAGATTTTAGAAATACACGCATACATTGAAACTTGCGATGTTATCACATGATTAAGTAAAACATTTCCCTTTTCTAGGTGGCATCATTTTAGCTACGTGTTTAATGGCAATCAGTTTTGCCACTTGGAAAGTCTATAGAGCATTCAATGAACAAAACTACCGCACACTATGATACAGATATTGTCATCGCGAAAATTCCATTTTCCAATAAGTAAATGCAGTCGTTCGAACTGGAAACTATGAATTTTACCATAATAATATTACGTATTTTTATAACGCACTTAAGTGTCGCGTGGTTTAAGTGCTCTTAGTAATGTGATGTGCAAACGCGAATTTCGTTTCTTTGTACCCAATTACAAAGACGAGTTACACGCATTATAGTATTGTCTCTTCGTATGTTCGCAAGCGCATTGTAATAGTGTTTATATTTATGAAAAAGAAAGAACGAATACTATGTGCATAGAAGAAAGGAAAAAGTAAGAGAATCTTGAGGACGTGAGAGGAGGAGAGAAATAGAAAAGCAAATATAGTATTACTATGCGCATGCGTAATTTGCATACGCAAGTTGACGACCAATCAAATACACATTCCATCAAAAAGATCAATTTTGCACTATAACAAGTCCACGTAATATTTTCTGCTCAAATGAAAATTATTTCGTAAAACTCTTCTATTTTTCTTTTATTGAACTCGTTTATCAGCTGTTGCCATACATAAAAACAATGGTTAAAATAATATAAAAACGATGAAATATACACAGATATAAAGGTTCCTATGTGTATATTTATAGCAAGAACAAAATATGTAAAAGGATTAAGTATGAGATGTTTAAAAGAGTTCGATTAAAGTTTAGGAGATTTGCACATAAATAATGATATGGTATGAACGAACTCCAGTATGAAATATTTTCTATGATTATATTCTTCAATATTACTTTTCTCACTAAGATGACATTTAATTATTAATTTCGGGTGTGAAGAATATTTTATATTCTAAGGGTATAAGGGTCGTTCGTACGTATAAATTATAGATGCTCCTGTACATGCCTTCATTAAATGATATTCTTGTTGAGGAATTTTCGTACGAGTCAAAAAAGAATTGAAAGTTTTTGGTTTTGATTTTTGTACCTGTTGGGAGATATAGTTATATGATTACAACAAATGTTGAAGTTGGTATTCGGCTCATAAGGAAATGTAATATGCTAATTAATATTTTACTTAATATAATCGTATAATACGTATTTTCATTTATATTTAGACTTTTCTTTCTTTCTGATACGAACAAAATGTATAGAGATTTAGTTTTCGTTTATTTCATTCCGTTTTTCTTTCTTTTCTTTTTTTAAAATAAGTATTTTATTTTTAAAAGAAGGTAATTAATTACCAATGTGACGATAGATGTACCGTAATTGATAACACTGGCCCCTAATATATCCTTCTATAGTTTCGAATATGTTTTTGATACGTTTAATATCATCGGGTAAAAAATTTAAGTGTTTACACGTAGAACGATGATTTTCTTGTAAGAGTTTTCCAATAATGTACGTTATGAACGTTAAATCGAAGTTTACAGAGAGACGTAACGAGAGTTGAGTTATTTTTAAGGAAACATGTGCGGTACATAAATAAACTAATTTTGAAACATATTAATTGAAGTCGAATATGCGACCTGCTATTATAAGAAAAGATACCTAAATATATATATTTAAAAAAACTACAGCCTAAATAGTGTATTGTATTTACATTCCGTGTAATATTTTAACAAGCTATGTAAAATACTTGCTTATATGAATTATACGATATTAATACTACGCAATGGCAAAACAAAATATCAAGTTAATTAATCAAGCTACATGATATACCGAAACATTTGATAAATAATCCTACCCAATTCTTCCCACTGTTCATTTCTAATCGCATTCGTCATTTCCACTATTCTTTTATCCTCGTCAATCACATCATTGGTCGTTTCCATTGTTTCTTGCGGAAATAAAAATTCCATCATTGACACACCTATCCCATGAGTACGCCATCGAGACATTGTGTTCATCATTGTCATAATTTCTTCGCAACGTATTCGATTACGTTCGTCGCCACGCCGTTTCAATAATTTAATTTTTTTAACATTGTTTAATTCGATAAGAATCAATTGAACATCAATGGCGTTCCAATTGCATCGAATGCGAAAATCTCATCCTCGTTCCCGATAACAGAAGTTAAAACATCCGACATACGAACTTTACAAGAGTCTGACGCTAATTTCTCCACCAAGTGACATATCAACGTCTTCCCCATAACATTGCCCGTATAAGTATTTGTAATCGCTTCAAAAAATGTATACAACGCCACGACCAGGGGGGAGCTGCTTCCGAGGCCGTGTTTGGCTGGTAAGCTGGATACGATTACGATTTGAAAGCCAGGAACGTGTGCTGTTAACAATATTGATTCCATTCAACCAACACGTATTTCGTACGCATTTTTTGCGTCGCGTTGTTGCTATTTGTTTACTTGGCTGTCAGCCTCGGAAACATTAAAAAAAGAATTTGATTACATAGATTTTTCTTCCTTTCAATACCAGCAGAAATTACCTAAATTATTAGCGAAAATATAGCTAATATAATTAATTACGCATGGATAATGAAAATTCGATTAACGAAAAACGCGTTAAACAATCTGCTGCGTTCAAAAGAATTTAATTGTCGGGGAGATTGAAAAACGAACTGGCTAATACCTCGGCTATCTTTGAAACTTCGTATCGTTCCTTTTAAGCAACGTATCCACGAAGTTTCTTCTACTAATGTGCAAAGATTTTCATCATCCATGCGAAACTTGAACATTTCCCCGTCGGTATTCTCCAAGAACGTTTTAACCTGGCACCATTTGCTGCCGTGATTGCGTTTACCAACCACTAACGTGACAAGTTGAATGGCCTGTTTTATTTCAAGGGAAGATAAACCAAGCAAATGTGTGCGTATGTATGTGTGTGTCGTTACACGCGTTATTGCTGCTTCCGTGCGGCACGATCGTAGGAAAGTACATATTCAGTGATCGTGCAAGCGAAAAGTCGGGACTCGCGATGAATCATCATCGCAGAAATGATTGAATTTGCACCTACCATGGATAACGATTTACTTTCCACGAGATTGGCGCTCTTGCCAGCTATGGTTAAACATCCGGGCGCAAATAACGCGCAGGTAGGGATTAATCCATAAGAATTAATAAATTCCTATTCGGCCAGATATCTTAATTTATCCAAACTTGGAATTTTTTTGGACAAATGCTCGTTTCATCAATTTGCAGTAATCCTTTAAAAACTGTATCAGATGAAACGATATGATGGAATTTACAACGGTTTCTTGCATGAAGACACGTAAATTATTAAACGTGACAGTAATACGTATATGTAATTAACACGCATATTATCATCACGGTTTATATTTAACCGCAATTAATCGTAATTATATTAACTTTTGTTTCTAATTCTTAGATCTTATTCTTTTAAAATTTTTAGAAGTTTCGTAGCAGAAAACTATATCTTACGCAGTGATGACATTACTATTTTATTAAATTCATAGTTGTACGACTATATGTAAACACAATTACGTGTATGGAATATATGTGTAGGGAAATTTCGAAAGATGAGACATAAAAATAAGCTTTTCTGTACTATCTAGTTTATATTTAAAATTATATCATCGACTTCACAAACTTGAAATTTCTTTTGAAAACTAAAATACGTTATATATTTTGTCCTATCGAAGGATCGAATCGATCGGACCGTTTACGAGTTAACAAATTTACGCTCAAATATATCGTGCAATATCATATGTATATTGTCCACGAACGATTCGATGGAAACTCTTACTTTATTGCTCGATAAATTGGCTGGCATGGAAGCGATATACGCCGTATGGATACTGTGGGATTTATCGTTTATTCTGAGAAAAGTCATCTAGCTAGAATTTCCCCAAGTGTTACGAATCAGCATATCTTTGATTGACGTTTCTGACATTCCGGAGAAACGAACGAAACGCTTGAATCCCGGAGCCGGGACTTTGGCTTTTCTTTCGTCGTTTTGTTTTGCGCGTCATAGGGCAACGTAGGGAACGAAATCGTACGAACCGTGCGTTTTCTCCTTGAACTGTGCCTGCAAAAATCGATCTAACACCACATATCGTGGTGATTGCAATTTTTCTCGTTTCTCCGTCTCATTGGTTTCGCTCCTTCTCTCCGATTATGCAAATGATGTCGAAACGTGACATTCACGATGCTTTCGTAGAAGGGAGATACCCGAGACTGCGGAACAACGCCATAAACTGAAAGAAGTGAACTACATGTTTCTAACACGTGATGAAAATATCAATGTTTGAAAACAGCGTGGTCCTTAGATAGATCATTGTCTTTTGTTTTTTCTTGTTTGTCAAAAATATTTCCTTCCTAAACGGGATTACACGTTTTCGAAGACTCTTCCTTTTTAACCAATTAACTACATTCGACGTGTAAACACGTCAATCCAAAACTTTATTTCGATCCCGTTGACGTGTATACTCATTATGTGAAATAAAAAATTACTATTTACTATAAAAACTCAAAATTTTAATAAAAAATAATATAAATGACATTTAGTGGTATGTTTCCTTTATACTTTCAGTAAATATCATGTATTTTATAAAAAAAGTTTGGTTATATGATTATTCCCATAAGTGCGTATATCGACTATTCCCCGAATTGTTTTGTGTACTTTGCTGTGTATATCAGCTATTCCTCGAATTGTTTTGTGTTTTATATCAGCTTATATAACTTTATACCAGCTACACCATTAAAAGCAAATCCACTTCGAAGATGTGCCATCTGTTCAAAAAATGGAATTCGTAAGGAGTCACCATTACTGGTGCTCGATTTGACGAAGTGTCACTTTATGTGGTATCTTGCTTTAAAAAATACGATACTGAAATCAACTGAATTTCTTAAATTTTTCTTTATGAATTTTATTATTTTTTTGGCAATTTTTAAGTTCATAATGACAATACCTTTTACAACAATGAATTGTTCATTTTTTATCGAATAAAAATATAATCCATCATTTTCACATACTTTTTTCGTAAAATTTATAAAAAGAACATTTGTTCTACATTCGACGTGTATATTCGCCATTGCTTAATTTTACCTGCGCGCTCTGTAAAGGATTTTGGAAATTAAATTCCGCATTTGACAGATTAATAACTATTTATAATAATTACTTATTCCCTTTAATAATAATTTTACGAAAGCAAGAAACGCAACACGACGCGATGTTTCCCAGGGGATGTAAAATGTGTCACGATGCTGCGTAGCATCTTTTTCCGATGTACAAATCGCTGGTGTGCGTGGCTGTTTGGCTGGTAACATAAAACAGTTCACAGTATCCTCTTACCAACTATACTTGTATGTTACCGCAGATGGTACAATGAAAATTGTGAAATAGCCATACGCGGCGCACGGTTGTCCGTGCTGATACAATAATAAGTTGTACGTCACGAATATTCGCATAATTATCACAGTATGAAGCTTGAACCTCAGAGATACGGAAGTTATATAAACTGTATCGAAATTGAATCGAGAGAAAGCACTGCCGGCTTATGTACACGACCGTCGCAACCTAAACGTAAACGTGTACACGATGAAAAAAAGAAAAATTAATATTCGACGCATGTTTTTGTACGTTCTTCGTACGATTCGCTACACCACAACTTTCGTTATAGGCAAACGATGTCTTATGTAGAACGGTTGTTAGATATTTCAAGACCTAACGCCGTTCCGTTTCACGTACTAGGACACGAAACGGTATTTTGTATGCATTTGATATGTGTTTTTTTTTGTCGTCGTTAATTCGTGTTTCACGCGAGTAAACATAACGCTACACGCCCAAAAACGAATGAGATGTCTTTCGACATCGTGGGTGATAGTTGGAACAAGAACGATACGAGAAAGATTCGATTTTTGGGAAAGAAGCGCAGAAGCGAAATTCCAGGGATCTCTGTGAGAGCGCGTAGATCGTTCAACAGAAAAGAGGCGCAGACGTGAGTGTAACTTTCTCTCGACAGGGGCGGAGTCCCTGTCCTTTGTCAATAAGAGCACGCTCTCTTTCTCTCTCTCTCTCTCTCTCTCCCTCTCTCTCTCTCTCTCTACCTCGTATCCCTCTATTTTGCCTCTCCTCTGCTCGCCTTCGGTGTGAGGCTCGCAACTTCCTCTCTACCACACTTCGTCCTCATCTACATCCATCTCCCGTGTTCTCTTCCCGATCTTTCCCTTCTTTCGTCTCTGTATAAACAGTCAACCACTCTCGTCCACCATTACTTTTCGCTCTCGCTTCTTTTCTCTTCGCTTTTCTCCGTTCTTCCGCTCTCTCCTTTTCTTCGTCGCTTCTTTCTCCGTTTCCTCCTTACATTCGTGACGTTCAGTATTCCCTTACTTCCGACCTTCCATCCCATTCTTCCCACGGTTTCGTCCTAGCGAACCAACGTTTTTTGCTATGCTTCTGCAAATATACCCGCGACACGTTGTCTAGGAACGAGGAGCTGACTAGGCGAGCTACAGGGAAACGGATACGGATCCGCCACGGACGTCGCGACTCCGCGTCGGGTCGCGTTGTGTCGTAGCGCAGATCGACGGTCGTGAGCAGAAACGAAACGAGAGAGCGAACGTACGAGCGACAGAGTTTCAGTGAGATTCGAATATGCGCCCAAGGTGAATCCTGATGAACGTATCATCGATCGGTGGCTGCTGAACCAGCCGATGTGCTCGGTCCACGCGTGTACGCGCAAAGGGCCGCGCTGCTAGCTGCGAGCCGCGCTACTCTGTTGCTCCCGACTCTCGAATATCTGCGATTGCCCAGAAATGTCGCGCTGCGATCTTCCATGGGATAATCGTTCTTGATACTTACCGCGAATCGAGAATCGAGAATAGAGAGTGCTCGCGACAACCAGGATACCCAGAGACGAACAGATAAACGAAGAAGAGAGACAAGAACGAGAGGAAGAGAGAAAGAGAAGGATAGGTATAGGGTGAGAGAAAGAGAGGTGACTTTTATCGATTGTCGTCGCGGGACGAGATATGGGAGACGTGGTGCTGGATTCGGGAGTGCAAGATCTTGCGTTACGATAGAATCAATTTGTGCGGTCCACGCGTGCTGTCCATCAACCGACGTTGCGTTTTTCATCGAGATCAGTCGGGATGACTCTCGCGTTGGCTATTGGCGACCCTCGTAGTCTCAGCTGATAGCGTCCTCGGTGAGCGTGTGTCGCGAGATAGTGAGCGAGCGAGCGACAAAGCGAAAAGGGTGATTCGTTGTTGGGGTGACAGATGCGAGAGGTCGCCGCGGAGAAAATATGTGATCGGTTGATGGAACGAGGTTATTAGATGTGTGATCTGTTTGTGTACACGGGACGATTCGCGGATACTCGAAGCTGACTGACCTCGTTACTACTGCATGTAAGTACCACCTATCTAATCGCATTCTTGTTGCTACTTGAACTTATAGCAAGATAAATATGACATTCTTATACAAGTGTTACTCTATTTCACAAACCATCGTTTGTAGAATTTTTTCTCAAATTGGGAATCGGAATTTATAGAGAGGAAGTGTGTTTAGAAAAATATTTCAGACCGTAGGAAAAAGGATCTGTACCGTATTGATATTTGAGCTTCCAAACGTAACTCTCCCACGGTTAAAATTTCATGCTTGAAATTTATCAGACGTAATAATATTCGAGGGTGTAGAAAGCGCAGAAAAGCCAGCTCGGTCAGTCATACGTTTAAAATATCTCGACCTAAACGAAATGCAAGGAACGACGATGCCTTCGTAGCGTGATTTATCAAAATTCGATATCTCGTGTCAAATCACGGATCGTCCTATTCTGCCGTTTCGCTCTTTCAAACAGTAGTGATTTTTCTTGTGCAATTTTTCAAAGATCAAATACCTTAATTAAGACGAAAAGTATTAAAAGCAGTTGAATCGAGTTGGAAAATAATTTCTCGGTGATTCGTAACGTATTGTACGCGAGTTTGTTTCCAAGATCATCGCGTAATCAGTAACCAGAGCTATGCATAATAATTACGCAACACCAGAAAAATCAACTTCTCCTTTATTCGTGATATTAATATATGCAGCACGTACTTGTCAATACGACATCATCGTCTTTTTTATTTTTTAGTAAATATCATTAGTCTTTGAAACGTTTTATCTTATTTTGTTATAGTTTCGATGTATTTTCCTATACGCTTCTGTCATCTGTTAGTATTTCTCAACGAATTACGACGATTGCGCGCCGCATGAATTCAAGATTGAGTTTCTTGTTCCCGAAGCAACCAAAGGAAACCTGATATCAGAACGTTAATTAATCTGTTTCCTACACTATAAATTAATAGGCTATGCGCTATCATCGAATTAGCGATAAAAGATAAAAATATAATTAAAATTATTCGTTACTAGTACAATAGTGTTCGTAGCAGGGCTGTACTAGTTGCTTTTCTCTATTACTGTCGCGTGGCGAATAGTTGTTCGATTTTTATTTTTACTTCATGCCTCGCGTGATATATGAGACATTGGTGATTTTTGGTGTATAAAATTAATTGGTAAGAAGCATTTGCCGTGTATTTGACATTCTCAAGAACTAAAGTACTTTTCGAAGAGGCAGCTCGAGAAAGAGTCGAAAAAGAATTCTTGTCAATCGTCGGTAGAAAATGTCGCTGTATTCGCGAGCGCGTGATCTTGCGGCGTAACCTTTCAATTTTGTTAACCTCCGTGTATCATCGACGCGTTTCATTGCTCTCGTACTAAACATGTTTACGACGCGACGCCACGCAGGTATGCGCGCGTTTCTGTTGCATAGAAAATTTACTATTGTCTTGTGCGTGATGGTAGCGTGCATACTCGACGAACGCAAAACTGTGAAACTCGGGTAAACTGATTGTGAGAATTCGAAGTAAAGGACAGAGTATGAAAAGCGTATGAAGGTGATAAACCCATAAAATCAGTGGATAAATCAGAGAAGATGCGTGATTGTACGCGCAAGGGAAGAGAAGGGGAAAGAGAAGGGGAGAGAGAAGCGGAAATAAGAGTAACGAGTATCGTTAAAACTGCGTCGAATTGAGTCGGGGGAGCACTTAATTCGCACTTATGGAACGACCACTCGAATATTCCGGAAAAGAGAGAGATGGCATTCTAAAGAGAGGGAAAGATAGGCAGACAGACAGAGAATGTGTGGAGGAACGCGTAGCGCGCGAGAATTGAAGGAAATCGGATAACGAAAGGAAGAGAGAGGAGAGGGTAGATAACACGCACGTTGGCTAGTTAGAGAAAAAATAAAACCGTCTCGTCATTGGATTGACATTGTCGTTAACAACAGACGACAGATTATCCAGTTGAGAGCATGAGATCCTATAACGCGATGCGGCTAGTTACGATTTGTCGTTCGTCAGGATCGTGTTATCGTCTTCTGTCTCTTCACTTTCCTCGAAAATGTTACACATATTTGAAACGTGATATTCCCTAAACGTATTGCATTTCGCACAGGTGACAAGAATCGCGGCAAGCATCGTAATTGGTGGCTAGCGAATTATCGAATACTATTGAAATTCGTACTTTCTACCGGACGATGAGAGATTGAAGGAAGAAAACGCTCGGCGATTGAACACACCGGGGGTCTGCTAATGATACTGAACTGATGAACCACGGGAAACTATGCTGGCATATTGTACAACGTTATTTTCGATCGAAGGTATGCCCGACTCCTAATCGAGACAGATTTCTTTTCCGGCGATGAACGATAAAATTTGGAATTTGTCAGAAAGGTTAGAATCCAACGGCCATTTTTAAAACATATCTTGCAACGTTACTAACTTGATTTTCAAATATGTCTATCTTTTATGAATATCGCATCAGCTGTGGTCTGTGTCATTACGTTCGACTTCGATCGACTTTAGGTTGCTTACTATTGTCTTATTTTTATCTTTCAACTTTTTCTTAACCAATTTGGTAAAATTTTACCGAAAGCAGCGTTCACGCAGTTCCATGTCTTTACTGAAAATCCAGCTGTCCATCCAAGCTTATGCTTACTTTGTTTATTCGTTTAATTTACTATTTGCAGTCGGACAAGATGGATGTAGATCATCATAACGGATTCATTATGTTTTGGGGTTAGGTTGGTATTATCTATCGTCGTAGAAAAAAGGGTCAACAGAAAATAGCGATTGCATCCTGCTGTAAAAGATAGGTTCAGTTCCTACCAGATGATGAAGTAACATTTTTTCTTCTATTTTTGTATATCAATATCTACGTTTGATGATCTGTTGAAAAAAGTGGAAAGAGATTTAACAAAACTATGAGACTCATCTATGAGAAATCACTATGAGAAATCGTTATCATTATATACATTAATGCAACTTAATTTTTGAGATTACATTAAGAGGAAGTTTGTAAATTAGAATTGAGCCAGATATTACAGAACCCAAATGACAATAATTTTTTAATTATCGTCACTATATACATATAATCATGTAGTTCGATGCAAAACTATAATTGAATGATCGAATTCTTAACTTTCGACCTAATCACGGGCTTCGTTGGACTTACCATTGAAAATGCTGATGTACTATGTTGGTGTCGTTTCCGGACTCCATAATTTTCCCATTCATAGAATTCATTCATCGATCGTCTAGAAAAGCGTGTCTTTTTAAAAATTTATTATATTAATTTATAACTCCGACTTGAAATTTCTAGAATTTCATCATCGTTGAATGTACGTAACGATGGCAAAAGACTTTTAGAAAATGAAATGCGATCACTTTCTTTCTCATTTCTGGGAAATTTTATTTGCTAATCTAGTAATTTTATCAAAATCTTTTTATCCCAAATAGCGAACCTTCTATCCACTAACGATATTAAAAATCCCGTATTTATTTTTATCATTCCCCCCTCTTCTGTAGTCTCCGTGACTCTTCTGAAAATAGGGTATCGATATAAAAGAAAACTGACCCATATCGACCGATTCGTTTTAACTGCTGAATCATTTCGTACGTTGACAAAACCGAGCGTTAACAGCGACCGGATCGGTGATTTCACGGTATATGAAACGTATGTAACTTACACAACAGACGTTTGAATCGACGAGTGAATAATTCGTCGTAGCGCGAATAAGCTATTACAGTAACAGCTATTATGCACTTCATTGAAACCATATGTTTTGGGAGCTGAATGTGCGACGAAAATACGGAAACGTGTGGACGCTGCTTCCGGTAAAATCACCGTAATTACTTGTAAATTACCGACGAAAAGACCGTCTGAACGAGCTGTTACTCGCTTCGTTTAGAGATGCATTCGATGTTGGAAACTGCGGCTCAGCCTGCCTCTCTTGCCCTCGCGTACTCTGTGGCTATGTGACAGCAGGAGGTAACTCGGACGAGACACTGCCTCGCACTGCCTGCGCTGCATAGTTGCTTCATAATTTGAACTGTAACGGATTCGCTGCTATTAGGAATATCGTATCGTATTACGATGCGGCGGCGACAAAATATTAAACCATTGTTCTAAGAGACAGCAACTTTATGCCATGGAAAAGTTATATCGTTCGCTACGCGTGGCTACTTTAGACTGATAAAATATGGATGTGTATATTTCGATTGTAATCTTTCATCGCTATAACCAACGCTATGTCGACCATACTAATTTTGAAACATCTAACTTGTTAATTTTGACTCTTGACTCAATCTCTACTCTTATTTCGTTCTTTTTAGAGAAAATGTGTTTACTTATGCAATATGTACGTCCATACATACGTACGAGCTTAGACTTCGTAAAACTTGGGTCGAAATTGTCGATCAATCTGTTTGAAATATGTATATATCTTGAATAACAATCGATTTCGTAACAGGAAAAATATGCTAAATGTCTGGCGTGTAGCAGTTGTTTCTTACTGTCAAAAACTTCGTAACGCTGTATTATTGTTACGGAATGATACGAGCAATGGACAATCGTTAGATGCGCTATCGATTCACCTGATATCTTACGCATTATTAATATCCCGTTATACGGCAAGTACAGTATATATGGTATGTTGTTAAGCTTTTGAACCAAGAGTGACTAAAAGATCGATAGAAATATCCTGAATAATTTGTTCACGGTGCCTATGGATACAAGTCGAAGCCGTCTAACCTCCTATCTACGTTCGTTCTTTCTCGACTTTTCTATCGTCAAGTTGTAAATCTACCCAAATGCTCTTTCTATGTCCAATTCTCCACACAGAGATTTTCACGAATTGCAGTTGCTAGTGTCTTTTATTTCGTTGCAAACAATGTACATAATTAAAAAATATAATCTTATGATATTTTTTAAGTTACACGACCATGTTTTCAAATCCTTATCTCTTCTTCTGTCCATAGAATATTTTTGTTAAGAAGGAGGTATAAGCTGTCGAGAAACATAGGTGCTCGTTCGCTACGAACCTACGAAAAATAGATACAGGTTTCGAACCATTACATTGTGTATGGGGTTACTAGACAAAGATTTACAAAGGGGGAACGACAAGCGGATCCATTTTCAGCGAGTTCGCGTCGCTGAACAGTAGCCAGAATTAGCTAGAATTTTGCAAGGATTCGTTGGATTTCGATCGATGTTTTCTAGTTGACGATAGTTATCGCTTTTCGCTCGATGAGAAAAGATTGGGCAAACGGTTAACAGCGGGTAAATTATGGTTAAATACTTAAAAAAAAACAGGTGCACAAAGATCGTTTCTCTCGATTTCCTATGGTTTCCAATAGTTTGTTCCGTTAAAAGGATTCGTGTTACCTATATACCCGCGTAGAATATTAGATAAGACGCAACTACGCGATAGAAAATAATCTTTTCACTCGGACATTGAAAAATCTTTAGTTTTCCTAAATTATCGCTGCAAGAAAAAGAAGTTGGAAATATGAAATATTGGTAATATAAAGTAATCGATAATAAAATCGGTATCCTATCGTACGAAAGTTGCGTTCTTCGAACAATCACGTTTCTTTAACGTTAGTTAAAGTTTAAAATTCGTTAGTTTGAATTTGAATGATACAGGTCTTGTCGTGTTCAGAAGTTGAAAAACAAAATATGACAGAGCAAGCGAACGTAGCCCCTATTCTACGCAAGCGTAATGAAAACGACATTCGGATAAATTTCGCTATTGGCATTACCACCGTTACCAGTACGATGGGGCGTCTTCGTTATTACCGACATGCCGGAAATTATGAAATATCGACGAATCAGTTATTCCATTTCCGCCAATCACCGCATCGTTTCAACCATCCTCTCGTTTTCACGAGTAATTTTCTTTGCTTTACCCTATTGCTCTGCTATAACGATACAGCGTAGAAAACATTACTTTTATTATGTAAATATTAAACAAAATAAGCAGACTTATCGAATAACATTCCTATATTTTCCTTTGTCTCGCGATATTTACTTTTTACGTTTCTTACAACTTGGATACTTTCGGTTTTCTCCGATTTTGTGGGCCAAAGGTTTCAACATCGAAGGCAGATAAATAGAATCTTATTGGACCGTCACTTTCGTACTAAACGACTGTAATAATAATTCAGAAAATCGCTGCCTGAAAGTCAGTAAAAATGAAAAAAAAAACCGCTGAGTTGGTTGTTTATTAAAAATACCGAGAAGTCTTCGGCGGGCAGGAAACCGCAAAAGTTCGAACTGCAATTGTAAAAGTAATTAGAGAACTTGCTAGAAATCTGCTCGCTCGATGTTCGAAGGCTTCGGAAACGTATGAATTACTCGATCAGGCGCGTTTTCTGCGTCGAACAGGTAACTGCAAGCTTCGTTGAAACCACTGATTCCGACATTGATGAAAATGCCGATGTCGGACGTATATTACGTAATGAGAAAAAGAAGGAAAACAGCTGCTAGAAGAAGAGAGATCCTTACAAGAAAGGAAGGACAGAAGGAAAACGCATGTAAACATTTGTTGGCTGCTACGTTTGCAGGGTATATCGAACGGATACACGAGGAAAGTACAGAGTAATGGTGAAAAGTACGCGGTCTGGGGTGTTGACCGCGAATTTCGAACAGGCGAGTCACACCGTGCACGATTCGCGGCGTAAGTTCGGCTTGAAAGGCGATCTATTGTTGAAAATCCTCGTTGGGCTGTTTTACATCACGAGTACCAGTTGCGATTGGAAAGAGAGGATGCCGCGCGGGACCAACAACTTGCAGATTGCTCTGAGCCGATTGACTCAGCTCGGCCACTGCGACCTCGAGGAGACCTGTGATTGGACGTGGGATGAAACCTCCTTCAAAAGAACCACGCCATCTGTGCGAAATAGGCACGGGCCTATCGTCGATGCCAGTAATTCGACTAAGGGTAAGATGCGCTTCTTAAACGTCAGATCTACCAAATCTAATCAGCTAGTTTTTGTTTCAATCGTTTCGATTATTATTATTTATTAAATATATATGTATATTTAATAAAAATGAATGTATCAATGAATGTATAATGAATGTATAAATGAATGTACGCGTTAGATCGTAGGTGGATAGTTTTCGCGTTAATTCGTTCCGTACGTTATAGAGCCGTGTCGATATGTACCTTTACACAACATACGATTAATATCGATTTGCATACCGGATGCAAATTAAAAGCTGGAACATGCGCGAAAAATCTTCTCTGACGATCATTATTTTTTTTTTTTTTTTTGCTAGGACATTTTTTATGGTTCACCGGCCCTGGAAAGACTCAAATATGGTCCACCACGATTCCTCCCACTGGATTACATTGTGTATTAGAATTATCTCTGTATCAAGTGGAGATGCGCAATGGTGATATCCAGTTACTCATAATCAAGAATAATACAAGTTGGGTTGCCACGGGAAAGCCAGGAAATAATTACGCAGAGTATGTAATCGCATGAAGATCTTACTCGTTGTATCGATAAAAATCAGAGTTAGTTTGATTTACTCGCTGCATTACAGATGGAGAGTAACGCGTTTCACACTAGGAGCAATTAGTCAGCCACATCAATTGCTTATAGAGATGATGGTGCCCTATTCTAACTCTAGCATCGCTGTTGATAATATTCATCTGATCGACTGTTTTCCAGGTAATTATTATCTCTATTTAGAGATTACTCCTATGGTAAATAGCTTTGCGACAGGAGACTCGCTTGTCAACTATGACGTCGAACTACGATCATTTTCATACCAGCTGTATGAAACGCATCGCATTGCCATATTACCCGTACAAGTAACGCGTATGAAACAAGTAGAATCGTAGCAGCACCGCATTCAGACAGAAACATCGTGGAATTTCTCTGCATGTCCCACCGGCGAACGAACGAGAAAAAGAACAAAATAGTAGGACGAGATATAGTAAAGGAAATTTCAAGTTTCTAGAACTAGAAAGCTCGACGCGGTGTAATCTAAACACGCGAAGAAACTGAACAAACGCTGATGTATGCTCGAGAAAAGAAAAACAAATGCATCTTGTTTGCAGAATCAACACCGGTGAAGATAACCTGCACGGAGGACATGTACCGCTGTAAGAATGGCTCCTGTTTAAACAGAACGCGTGTTTGTGACCTAACGAAAGACTGCGCCGACGGCGAAGACGAAGACGATGATTGCGGTAATTGTTAAATTATTACCTTTCGCTCCGATTTCATCGTTCCAATGCATGACAGACTATAATAAAGGTGTATTCGTATTGCAGACAAAATACCGGAAAACGCCAGATGCAATTTCGAGCAGGGATGGTGCGGCTGGAAGAATGTACCGGAAAGACCTTTAAATTGGACGCTCCATCGTGGTGCAACACCGTCCGAGAAAACTGGACCTAGTTACGATCATACATACCGCAATGCGTCCGGTGTGTATATGTACATGTACATATGTATATATGCACGTATAGTTACATGTGCCCTCGTCTGCATCTACGTTTTAACGAATCTTGCATTTGCACTGGTTTTTTTAACTACGCTTATCTAGATTTATTATTAATTTCACGAATGAATCAATGAAAGCGTGGAAATAACCATGTACGGGAATTTTGTCACGTAATTTTGTTTGCAACGCGAGTAAAATGATTCTTCGTCATTAATTTTTATTAAATTAATTAAAATTTATTAAATTTTTATTTATTAAATTAATGTTTATTAAATTAATCGTACTGTAAAATTGCAAAAAATAATTAAAACGAAATTTTCGTTGCACGTGCGTGACGTTACCGATTACAAAATATGGTTCGAATATTCAATCATCCATAAGTTTCATAAGCGACGTTGTTTCTTAATTCTAACTTCGAACAAATTAAGACGTTCGTCCGCGTCGACGATTGCACAGAGAATGAAAAAGTATCCCAGGCGTGGCAGTTAATCAAAAAACCATTGTGACCTGTTAGAGCCCACTACCACGCAATAAGAAGGTAGAGGGTCTAATTGAGGAAGAAATCTTCGAATGTCTTCGCTTTCTCTTCTTAAAACATAGCCATAATAACGAAGGCGTTCAAAGCTTTATATCTACTTACATATTTTTTATATCCTTGGTTCGTGTTCTTGGTTATACTGCCTTTCCTAAATTCGTGTAGTGTACAATGCCGCGGTTTTCGTTGACACTCAATGTATAACCTCTTTTAATGTATCGATCTAATTGCTTTGAACACACTTTGCGGAATGGTTGCGGAATGTCAAGAGGGTACTTTAACAAATAAGGGGGATGTTCCTACAAACGCATCAGCGAAATATGAGACGCACAATTATCTAAAGCAAGATAAGAAACGTCGTTACTTATGGAATGACCTGAAAGGAGCAAATTTTTATCAACGATATCGCTTCTTCTTTTATCTTCGAATTTCTTTGAAATAGAAAAAATGTAAATATAAATGTAACTCATGTATGACTTTTATCCAAATGACAGACTAGAAATACTTTTGGTAAACAGTTATCTCCATGTTAATTTTCCATTACAGGGACATACGCCTATGTAAGTATGTCACCTCGAGTGGAATATGGTAGTCGTGGTACCATTGAGAGTCCATTGTACAATCCAACGCCACCTTATAATGGCGATCCAAAAAGTCCTTATTATAAGTCGTGTCAAGTAAGTTGCTTTATCTCAAAATAAACGAAATATTATAGCAAATACAAAACGCATTAATATGTATGTACGTGAACAGGTGCGGTTCTTTTACCATCAATATGGTGCAAACAGCGGTTCGCTTGGATTGTATCTAATTCAGGTGAAACCTCATCAACGCCATACGGAACGATTATGGTGGTCTTATCTTAGCGGCGACAAAAGTGATGTTTGGTACAATCAAGCTGTTCCTTTGCCCGATATCAAATACAGGTGTTTATTTACTAAAGCGTTCAATTTCATTTAGATATTAAATATCATAAAGATATCGTGAAATTTAGTCGAAGACATGAAAAAAGTGATTATCTAATACATGTACTATTTGTCCAGATATTTGCTGCAGTTTGAGGCAAGCAGAGGCTATTATTCGAAAGCTGATGTAGCGATCGATGACTTTTCTCTGAGTCCAGAGTGTTTTGGCATTGGTAATCTTTCAAATGAATAACCAACGATACTTTATGTGTACTTATTAAGATACTTATATACTATATCCTTTTTATTAGGAGTTCCTCCTGAAGTCGTGGGAACTTTCAATTACTACAATCCTGTTATAGATTCGGAAAAAGTTCCAGATCCACATGCCGACTTTGTTAACGAAACTGGTACCGTGTTTCAACTATTCTAACAAAAATATCATTGTTCATTCTACGAAGTTTTCATACAATACATATCGAAATTTCTTTATCATATTATTCTTTGTATTCGTTTGTTCAGTTATACGAATTACCACATGTGGAAATACCGGAAGAACAGGTCCCAATAGCGAACAATGTACCGAAGAATACAATAGTACAGATATAGAAGTGCTTGCACCTTCGGCAACAGTGGAAGAGTCTCTTCCCTCCAATTTAAATGGGGTTCAACGGTGGACAGCACCTCGTGGTGGATATTACACGTGAGAATTTATTCGAAATTCTCTGAATTATCATTTATAAAATATTAAAACTGAACTAACATTTGCATGGTCGTGAACGTAGATTGATTGCAATGGGTGCCCGTGGAGGAAAAGGTTCTAGCGGTATGGGAAGTACATTGGGTGCACTTGCCCGTGGTGTAATTGAATTAGAAAAAGGTGAACAATTGTATTTTATGGTGGGACAGCCAGGAATGGACGCATGTCCTAAAGTAAGAATCACATATTTACTATATAGTACGAACAATATAAAAGCATCGATTTTCCGTCGATGAAGCGATTTTACATACACACGTGTAATATTTATTTCGGAATTTTTTTGCAAATCATTCCAAAAAGTTCTTGAAAATGAATATCCTTTAACTATGCATGACGAATGATGAATTGTTTTTAGAACTTGGGATTAGAATTAGATAGCTGTCAAAGTGTTGGATCGTACGGATCCTCCATTCCTTCAGGGGGTTCTAAAGTACACAAAGTAAAGAATATCAAGATAAAAGACGGTGGCGGTGGTGGTGGCGGAGCAACGTACATTTTTACAGTAAGGGAATATCTTTCAATTATTAAAAAAATTTAAAAATCATCGTACCTAATCCTATTAACGTAATTAAATTATTGCCCAATACTTATTATGTCCTCGGCTATCACTTTCCTATGTTACAGTTAAAAGAGAACGGAGACCAACATCCGATACTTATCGCAGGAGGTGGTGGTGGTTTAGGACTGGGACCATTTATTAGTAATGGCCATCAACATAATCAACATGACCAACATGGACAGGCAGTCGCTCCTTCCGGAAGACCACCAATTTCGGGAACGATTCTTTCAGCAGAAACAGGTAAATTATAGTTAGAACGTTAGATTCCTAATTTACGTCTTTAGTGTGACATATACATTATTATTATTATTATTATTATTATAATTTTAGAAAATTACTCTTCGATAGATTATGTTACTTTTCATAAAAAGAATTATACGTTTCCTGAATAACGAAAGGATTAACGTTGAGGGGAAAAAGTACGGAAGAAAATGAATAACGAATGGTTTGCAATTTAATTGAATTTTCAACTTAGAGGTCAATCAACGATGCTTCAATCTTATTTAGGCAACATTGTGTTGCAGCTATAAGTTGCTTCGAAACTCTGTCAATCACATAAATCTATGATATAGATACAGGTGGTCCTGGCGGTGGATGGAACGGGTCATCGACTACCGTTTCGGGTCAACGATCTTCCGCTGGCGGGACCCTTGTTACGGGTGGCATAGGTGGAATCGGTTGCGGTCCTGGACATTCGAATCACGGAAACGGAGGATTCGGTGGCGGAGGTGGTGGATGTCTTACAGGAGGCGGTGGCGGTGGTTACATAGGTAACGAATCGGTATTAAAGCGATTTCAAACACCGAATTTAAGATGAATCGTGCTGTGCGTTGTCTTTGATCGTAGTTGTATTTGAAATTCCTAACTCCTGTAGTTCAAGTATTCAGTGTTTTGAATTTCAGGTCAGGGCAGATTGATGAAAGGATAATCTAATTTTATCTTGATCATTAATTTTTATCGAAAGAATCTACTTCTCAGTAATTCCATAAATAAAATGATTCAGGTGGCAATACCGGTCACAAGGAACGGGGTAACGGTGAAGGTGGTTACTCCTACGCTAGTCCCGAACTTATGCACGTTCATTTCCGGGCAGGGATAAATCATGGGCCTGGAGAGGTTTACATTATTCCTGCTGTCAGCGGTTGTCAATGCGACTTCCGTTGCGTTTGTCTGGATCGGTATCTTAGCGAGATAAAGTGTCTGTGCCCTCCAGGCTGGTTATTAAGTAACGATTCGAGATCTTGCGTTAGTAAGTAAACCGAGAAACAAGAACAACAATTTCTTTTCTTTCTTCACGATCGATTTGCATAAAATTACGTATATAATAATTGTTCTATTCGCAGCGGCTGACGAATCGAAGGATACTCATCAACCATACATCTGGCTGATAGCTGTCCTATGCATTGTCCTATTCTTAGTTTGCGTCGCTCTCTGTCTACTAGTTTGTAAGAAACTATTTGATACCGTAATGTACATAATTTTCTCTAATCTTCGAGATTTCGTATCTTGAAAAACGCGAGCGACATTTGAAACGTTTGAAAGTAGATAGTAACGTATACAGTGTTACTTCGATGGTAAATGCGAATCATATTTGTCGATAGGTAATCGTTACCAAAGTCGAAAGGCACTTTTACAACGACGACAGATAATGTTTGGTAACGGAACTGAATTAAGGTCTCTACGTGCTGTCTCCGAAACTATGATGACTGAATTCAATCCGAACTACGAGTTTGCTGGAAATCTCTATAGCTTTAAAGACTTGCCGCAAATCCCTCGCGAACATATCACTTTGGTAAAGTAAGTATAAATTTCATGGCCATCGACGATCGAATCTGTTAAGGGTCAACGTTGCGTCGTTATCTTTCTTTTCACTTAACGACTTACACATGTGTATATCGCATACGTATAATTCCTATGATTTTTTCTCCGACTCGTTTAATGGCATCCGTAAAGTACCTGTTACTCTAATGCACTTTCCGATGCCTAAATTATTCGATTTACATTCTACGATAATGTCGGGAAATTTCAACGAATTTTCAAGAATCTAGTTAAAATAGAGAACGTACTTGTTACTTCTTCTTCGTATATTTTCGAACTAAGCATATTTTCTTCTATTTGTGTGGCAGACCCCTTGGTCAAGGCGCTTTCGGCGAAGTTTTCCAAGGTGTGTACAAATACAGACGCAACGAAGAACAGCCTGTCGCTGTGAAGACTATACCTTCTTCGTCCAGGCCTCAAACCGAAGCAGATTTCATGATGGAAGCTTTAATTATGAGCAAATTTAATCACCCTAATATAGTACACTTTATCGGAGTTTCCTTCGATAAAAATCCAAAATACATTGTGCTAGAATTGCTTGCTGGTGGAAATTTGAAAAACTTTCTTCGAGAAGAAAGGCCACGTGCGGTAAATGGCATTCCTTTTACAGAAGATGCTACAAATTCCTGTACACTACTTCATGCTTGAAGCAATTTTACATTCATTTATACCTTGAGTTTGAATTAATAAATTTATATTTATGTTAAGAATGTTTTATTTTGTTCCACCATTTGCTATTTACACGATCGAGAGGACTTTTATGCACCCAATTTTTTGTATTTAGTTCGATTAGTTCCCGTTAACTATGTGTCGTCCTCGATTACGATTTAAACAGGGACAGTTGTTAATTTTTGGCACTCGTCGTCATTGGGGTGCATGCGTATATTCCTGTTTTGGCAGGATCGGCCCACTTCGTTGACGATGCTGGACTTGATAATGTGCGGCCACGACGTCGCGAATGGTTGTAAATACATGGAAGAGGCTCGATTCATTCATCGAGATATCGCTGCCAGAAACTGTTTGCTTACGTGCAAAGGACCCGGTCGGATAGGCAAAATCGCTGATTTCGGAATGGCCAAGGATATCTATAGAAGCGATTATTATAGGAAGGGAGGCAAAGCTATGTTACCAATCAAATGGATGCCACCGGAAAGTTTTTTGGATGGAATATTTACTACGAAAACCGACGTTTGGTGAGTTCTATTTGACAAAGCAGTTGGTAGCAACGATAAATCCATAGTCACCGAATTAATTAACAACTCCAACGAATAGTCAATTTAATTATATATATATATATATATAT